CGCTTGGGACTCCCTGCAGGGCAGATCAGGTGGCAGCAGGACGAGGGTTGTGTACTGGATAATGTCCCATGGGGAGGAAAAGCAAGGTGCAGGTCTGCTCTGCCCTGCTCCACCCCTTTGTCTGCCTGACACTCCTGTACCCTTTCTCACCACACCTGTGCTTAGGAACATAAAATGCCACAGCCAGCGTCGTACATCTCTGTGGCTGAAGACACGGTCACCCTCCTCAGAGCGAGCTTCTTGGCCATACCAGAGGTGAGTGTCAGGAAGTACTTGGTTGGGGTCTGCCATGCTTTAGCAGTTCTTTTTTATTGTTCTTATGAGTTGGGGGCTGATTATCTTGGCCTCAAACAGTCATAAGCCACTGTCAGCCAGACTTGCTTGGTACTGTAGCTCCCTTAAAAATGAAGTTTGTTTTTCAGGTTTATTTGCTGCCATAAACTAGTAACCCAAACCAAAGGTACTGCCAAGTCTTAAGGTATTGAAAGGAGAACCTGGGTGTGGCGTTAGCTCCTGGCCTTGGTTCTCTGCAAAGTGCCGTAGGTCTTGGTTAATAGAGTTTACTTGGGGCCAGCAGATTGTGGAGGTACAGCTCAGATTCTACATCTTCACGGTGGCCATGCCTATTCCGGTCTCAGGCTTGGAATGGGTCACCCCAGGCAGAGTAACTCTTCCACGCAGCACCATGTTGTCCTCTCTGACCTTTCAGACAGGCCAGGTTTGCTAACCCCATATTCTGGCAGGTATCCTGAATTTTCTCAGATTCTCTGATGTTGCAGGTCCAAGGTCCAAGTCTCAAGGCCATGGCTTGGCCAGGTGTTTCACTGTTAGATATTGTGGTTTCAGTGTAAGGTGGCCTCCAAAGTCTCATGAGTTCAGAGATGGGGCTTCCTGCCTTGGAGCCAGCTGACCGTGGACTGAAGCTTCTGCAACCGTGAGCCAAGACAGACCTTTCCCCTTGAAGTTGTGGGTGTCAGGTGCATGTTTCAGTGGTGAGAAAGTGACTAAGACAGATAATCAGAGGTGATCATCTTCCCTATCCAGTGCCCTGCGCTCTGGGTCTTAGCTCAGCAAGTCCCTGCTTTTTGGTGTTATTTACAATGCTCCACTTCCTGGTACCAGTTTCTTTTATTGGGTAAGATGCTTCCTATTACAAATAATAGAAAGTCCTACCCAATCACCTTCAACAGTGAGGAGAGCTAATTGGCTTACATCACTGAAAACTTGAGAGACGAAGGGGCAGGTGCCAAGAGCAATTTGATCCAGAGATTTGTAACATTAATTAGGACCCTATCACTAATAATTATCAGTAATTTTCCTGCCCCGCCTTCCTGCATGTGTTGTCTTCCTCCTGGGACCAGCTTCCCTCAGGCATGGCTGCCTGGCTACAGCTGTTCAAGTGTCACGTAGGCTGGTCACACCATCTAGAGCCAGAGAGGACCTTTGTCTTTATATTCCAAGCTGAAGAGGTTCAAGTTTGGTTGCATCATCCAGCCTTAAATCAGTTACAGTGGTTGGGAGATGTGTTGTAATTTTAGCATAGGTCACATGGTATTTCTTGGAGCATGGGGTACACCTGATTTCCCCAGAACAACATGGATTTCCATGGGGGCCCTTGGGAAGGGAAGATGTCTGTGTGTCTATCTGTACTGTAACTGTATCTATATCTGTATCTCTGCCTGTGTAAATGTATATATATCCCTACACGACACAGTTAGTATACACATGTACATGCATAGTAAACAAAGCGTCCACAGTGATATCTACACACCTTCTCATTTAATTCTCTCTCTAACCCCATCTGAGCATTGACAGTTTATGGAAATGTTGAGTTTGCAAGTGATTCTGAGATTTGTTCCCATGGTAAACATTGCTTGGTCACAGAAAAAACCAAAGGAGTTTCTTTTGGTGGAGCAAATATACTGACTTATTTCACTGAGATGTGAAAGAAAGTTAAACCCAGCCTGAAGAGGGTGGGCACAGTGTGGGAAACCCGTTCAGCTGTGAGAAGATGCAGAAATGCCCAGTGTTGTTTCCTTGATGTCCTGTTTTCACCTGGAGAAAGAAGCTGTTACTATGTCCACCATATGTAGGTGCTAAAAAGATAAAAAACAAAAACATTTACATGACTAAATCAATCTTGTTACTGGATTTTTAAATTCTTATTTGTATTCGTGCGTGTTTGCAGTACATCCTGATTATATTCCTCGTGGGGAGTTGGTAACATGGACATAATGCATCTTAATTCTTTTTTCACCACCTTCCCTTCATCTTTCGGTCCCCTTTGCATTTATGAAAACTCTACCTCCCTGTTTCCTATTATCTGTCTTCTGTTTTTCTGTTTAATTCATTTATATTTCAGGCTTCTCAGATAAGAGGAACCATGCCATATTTAAGTTTGTGTGTCTGATTTATTTCACTTAACCTTATGGTCTCAAGGTGCATGCATTTTCTTAAAAATGACTCAGGTTTGTCTTTCCTTGTACCAGTATAGCACTCCCTTTTGTAGAAATACCACATTTTCACTATCCCTTTATCCGTTGATGGACATATGGGCCCCTTCCAGTGTTTCGGTTTGGTTTGCTTTGTTATATTTTGGTTTGCACAAATTGTGTCTTCAGTTTTCCCCTTTCAATCAAGTGCCCACAGTGTAGCATGCGTTTTGCGCTCCTATTCCATGTTCCCACTTTGGATTATGAGGTTGGGGTGGAGGTGTGAGAGTTAGGAGCCCTACAAACTTTCTTGAAACACTGTGTGATGACAGGTTTAGGTACAGAGTTAGACTGGCTGCTTCATTACCGTTACCTGTACTAAAATGGTGTTATCTTTCCGCAGCTGTCTCTATAAATAAACTACATCCAGAAATCCACCTGGGGCAGAGCGTTCCTGCTCAGGCACCTTGCTTAATTTAAATTGCTAGGTTGAGGTAGTTATTTTTGAAACCCTCCTTTGGTTGACTTTTCCCTTAACCTCCCAGCCTTCTTCCCTCCTCTCCCAAATTACGTGTAATTCGTGGCAACTCGAGCGCTTTTGGCATCGTGCGAGTCTGAGAGCTGGAAATCTGACCGGTGTTGATTTATTGTGACAAACGTTGGGCACTCACAGTGCTGTTTCCTTGCACGTCGTTCCTGGATGCTGGCATCAGCCCAGCTGCTTCTTGGGCTCCTGTTCCCTCCCCAGAAAATGGCAGACACCTCCCACCCTCACCTGTTTTGTTCTAAAGCAGAGCCTGGCCCGCTTCAAAACACAACCATTCTTTGGGTTAGCATTGTTGTGTCTTAATGATACCTGGAACTATTTATTCCAGGTGTAGTTGGCATGAAATGAAAACATTAACGAGCTAATTCCTCTGTCATTGTTTTGAGTGTTAAATTCTTCCCTCTTGGTGGTTCTTCTTCCTTGGAGAACCTGCTGGTTTCATCTTAGTCTTCTTTTCTGGCTTCCTAGAGGCAAATAAAAGTATTTTTTATTACAGCCAGGGATGAAAGATGTTTGTGGCTTCGTATGAATTGCTAACAATGAATAATAATGAATTACTTACTATTCTTTTCCAGTTTTCTGTGAGACATTCCAACGAAATGTAGTTTCTGTTGCCTTTGAGAGACCTGCTGGGAGTAGTACACTAGAAGAGAAGGATGTTTGCTTGAATTGCTAAGACCTGAGCTAGCACACCAGCCTTCCTGTCGCATGGGAGTGTGTTCCACTCACAGCCAGGGGCGAGTGTTCGCAGTGTTTTTTGGCATTTAGACAGAAATTATATAAGCCTGTCTTGTATGCTACTGACATTTAGAATGGCCCAGATGAGTTTATTTCTACATCCTGGTAATTTTAGAAAAGGTAACACAAACAAGCACATGCGCATAACACACACTCACTACATCCGCTCCACACACACATTCTTGTGTTCAGAAGTTGAAGAACTTTAGTGCTGTCCACTGCGGTGATCAGATTGGGAGCCTTGGGGATTTAGTGTTTCTCAGTGCAGTGTCACCCTGTATAGGGAGTGGGGTAGGATGTGGCCCTCGAAGTGTGCCTGTTTCCCTCAGTGGTCTCTCCCGTTGAGCCAAAGGGAAACTGTAACGTTTCTGGTCTAGTCATTGCCTGTCCATTGGCATGATATGGTGGCATGTCTGTTGGAACGAGGGTTAAAAACACGAAAGTCACTCTGGGCAGGTTATATTATATATGCCGGGCATGGTGGCGCACGCCTGTAATCCCAGCACTCCGGAGGTGGAGGCAGGAGGATCATTGTGAGTTCGAGACCAGCCTAGCCTATAAAGTGAGCTCAAGGCTGGCCTGAACTGCGTAGTGAGACCCTGTCTCAAAAAAAAAAGTTAAATTGGCAATCACTATTTATAGTTGGTTGTGTTTTCTTCTAAGTTAGTTTTGAGTCTGTAGAATGATGCTTTCCATAAATGCAATGTTATGAGTGGTGATGTGACTCTTTAACACTACATGCAAAACGCTTTTGAGTAATCAAAGTAAGATTCTTAATCTCTGTGAGCTTCAGTTTTCTTATGATGGAGAAAACAGTGCCTGCCTCGTAGAGTTACTGTGAGGATTGAATTAAGTCATGCATGGAAAGTTCTCTAGTACAGTATATGTACTTCCCGGCTAGTGACCAGTAGTATTAGCAGCATGTTGCAACCCGTATTTCTTGGGAAATACACTCTGAGTTTTGTCTTGGAATGCTGGTGGGTGTCAACCTGGAGGAAGCAGGTTCACCTATGTTCAAGTCTGACTTTGGTATGCTTGGCCCAGGGGAAAGGTGGGTTCTAGGTTCCTTGCTAACAGTTGCAGTCTCAGGTGGGAGAGCAGAGGGTCTAAAGAAGAAAACAGAGCCGTGGTTTCCTAGCTGCTCCTCCTGTGGATGGACTTTGCCTGAGAAGGAGGTTCATTTTTGGCCAGTGGAGCATCCGCATCAAGCAAAGCTTTCTGATGTAGGCTGGAGGGAGCATTGTCCTTCATTTAAACCGACTCTCTTCCTCTCTCTCCTCCAGCTGGAGACCATGGCCAAAATGGAGGTGAAAACGTCACTTCTGGACAACATGATTGGAGTTGGAGACATGGTTCTCTTGGAACCTCTCAGCGAGGAGACCTTCATCAACAACCTCAAGAAGCGTTTCGACCACAATGAGATCTATGTGAGTACATGGGGGAATCACTTGGGATGGTTAAGCTTCGAATTTTGTGGCAGAGAGCTGGCTTTTCTACCTCACACTCTTTTTTTGGTTTGTTTTTGATTTCTCTGTTGCTTAGAGTCCAGAGGCCCTTGTTTATCCCCTCACAGTTCTGAATGTTTGCCGATCTGTCTTTCCCAAGGTGCAGGGTTGCACTGGAAACTTAGGGAAGACTTTAGTTCCTATCCTTGGAAGTACATCCATTGAGAGTTTTGCAACCATGAGCATCTTGTTGCATGCCTTCGTGAGATTAGAAAAGTCTAATCGTTGAGAACAGCTGCTCATTAAAATGTAAGACAGAGAACTTTCCAAAAAGATGTGAACCTTCTTGCCCCTTGTCATTAGGTGGGACTAGGGCATTTTACCAGTTAAGAATATGTGCTGGTCCCTGGAAACTTGGGACTTGGCATGTTATGTTCTAAGAGGGTGCAAAAATGCAATCGTGTAAATATATACAATAACAAACCTTTGTTGCAAAAATCCTTTATAGAGGATTTCACAGTATTACTTTGACAAGTTCTCTAGAGCATGACTAAAGAATACCTTTATATGTAGCCTTTTAGGAGTTGGAATAGAACACAGCTCTTGCATCCGGGGAGGTCAAGATGTGTTGTTATCTCAGCCAAGGAAACAGAGCCTGGCTACCCATATCAGCTGCAGAGAGGGGAACAGGAAGCATGGGATGGAGAGAGTTTTAATGGTTTTGTCTTGCCACTGAGTTCTCTTTTCCTCTTTGAAAAATGTGCGTCTGTGCATGGCGAAGAACTGGACTATGGGGGCAGGCTTCATTTTGAGGGAGGTTGACAGTAACGTGAGACGTGTGAATCCTGGTTTTTCCATCAACTTGGGGAGGAAGTATAAATAAATAAAAGATCATAAAATGATACAAATAGGGGAACATCCATTACTTTGGTGAAACTAATATATTTTAAAAAGCATGGGCACAGTTATAAGTTGTATTATTTCCTATCACATATCGCTGTCTTTTCTCTATCACTGTCTTAGTTCATTTAGGCCGCTGTATCAAAATACTGTGTGTTAGGTAGCTTATAAACAGAGAAATTTATTTCTCACCGTTCTGGGAATTCCAAGATGAAGCAGCTGGTGGATTCAGTGTCTGTTGCATAAATGCTGTCTTCCCACTGTGCCCTGCACTGGGGGGCGCTCTGTGGAGCGCTTTTTTGTGTGTGTGTGGAGCATTTTTTTATCAGAGCCCCAATTCTTCATGCTGGCTCTGCCTTAGGATCTAACCATCTCCTGAAGGCTCCATCTCCCGAAACCATCGTGTTGGTGATCAGCTTTCAACACCTTGGTTCTGGAGGCACACAGACACTCAGAGTATAACACCAAGCGTGTTTTGAGAAGAACTTCAGGTAATGATTTCATCACGAAATAGTAGGCATCCTGTGGGAATTGAACTCTTTCATCCTTCTTGACAGGTGGTGTTGGAGCTAAGGGAGGTTGACCGTAACATGAGACGTGTGAATCCTGGCTTGGCATATTAATTTGATAACTGGATACTAAACTGAGGTGTAGTTGTAGTTCAGAGGTTATTTAAAATGCTGATCCAAATGGAAAAGGTAGAAGCTGCTGCCGCAGAGCAGGGAAGTGGCATTGTTTGGTTTGGCACTGAGGCCTGGTGTCGCCTTCTCTCCCTGGGTAGAGGTTCTGATTTCAGGTGGGGAAGCCTGATGGTTCTGCAGCTTTAATTGAAAGTGTGGTCTGATATCAAATAAAAGACAGCCTTTAAACCTGGGGCTCTGAGGTGGAGATGGGTGGAATTGATTATATCGTAACGTTGCCGATCAGTTTTCTTTTTGGCTCTGAGAAGCACGGTTCAGTTTTAGAACTGAAGATAGGATGGAGAGCAGAACATTAGGTGCATTTGAATACCTGATTTGTTGTGGCCACTGAAAATAAAACAATCTCCCTTTTAACAAAATGCCAAGTGCTAACATTCATGAGTCTTTAGCAGACACAATGTCTGGGCTTCAGCCCTACATAATTTTATTTCGGAACTATTTTTGGAATGCCCTTTCTGGATATAAAACAAGAGCAGAAAATTAACTTTAGCTTCCAGATATCGATACCAGTGAATGTTTTTCAGGATACGCAGGACACTGCTCTTTCCATGAGATGTACACCTTCCTTTTGTTAACTTCTAAACACACGTCACGTTGGGGGAGAGGCATTCTCTGTTTTCAGTTTTTAAGAAAAAGTATATTGTAGTGTAATGTCTATGATATGATCCCGTTTTCTTCATTGAGGGGATTTAGCGCTGTACATCTGGTTGTATTTGTGTGTATATAGACAAAGGTTTGTGAGCTTTGGGTCCCCTCATGGGATAGGAGGAGATACGGGAACGGGAGTGTTGCTCTTTCAGACACCGGTATTGTAGGACTAAGCATATATTCCTTTGTAATTATTAAAATACTTCATGGTAAATTTGATTACCATGCTCTCCGGCCCCTTAGCAAATCTATTTCTGGCTCCTGTTCTTTATCACATTCCTGCTTTGCTTTTGTGTGTGGGTTGCTGCAGAATTGTTCAGCCTGATACCCAAGGCCAAGCTCGTGCGATACGCAACATCTTACTGGCTTATACTTTACTTTTTTTTTTAAAGTTCTTAGAAAAAGAAGATATAGTTAGAAACATAATCTTTTAAAGCCCCATAGCTTCGTTTTAGACTTTGGGTGGCCCTGGGATGGTTCGTTGCAGTATATTGAACTGTGATTTGTGTGCTCAGATCCCTGGTTGATAAAGGGGGCTGCAGAGACAGAGAGCTTTCCGCCCAGACTTTTCAACTCTGGGGACAGCCGCAGCCTCCCGGGAGAGCCGCCGTGGGTCGGGAAACTCTTCCTCTGCCCTGCCATCCATCCATCTCCCTTTCCCTTCCTCTCTCCCCGTGTCAGAAATTAGAGCCAGCCTCCGCTTTCACGGTGCACTCCTGAGGGGCGCCTTTGTCCTCGAGTGGCAGTCACAAACCCTATGGTCCTGGATGTGCAGGCAGCCGACAGGTGGGGGCTCCCTGAGGTCCTCTCGTGCTAAACCTGAAGCTCGGGGTAGGAAGGGGCTTTTTGCATCAGGTTGTGTTAGGTTGTAGGAGCTGCAAGTGCGATCACCCAGCCTAACCTGATCTTGACAATAAAGGGAGATGTATTCGCTTGGGTATGTGCAAGGCCAGACATGGTTCTGCTTTCAGAATGCACTGGGCCTTGCGGCTCTGGGGTCTCCTCAAGGACCTCCTGTGTTAGGTACCTCCCACACTGCCTGTCTGCGTTGCCTCCATGGCTGCTGCTGCATTCCGAGGCTTCCTGGTGGCAAAGCAGCTTTGCGTTCACACGCCCTGTTCACGGGCAGCAGTCTAGGAGGGGAGCACATGCGTTCCGAGTCAGAGAGCTCAGGTTGGCCCTGGGCAGGCCGTGGCCTCAAGTGCCTGCCTCTATCTGGTGCACCAACTTTTTCTAAAATAGATGGGCTCTGTGAGAGGGCTGGGGGCCCAGCCTGATAGACCTGTCCACACAGCAGGGAGAAGGAAAGCAGAATGGGTGCTGAGGTGGCCGCCAGCTGTGAACCCCCAGGAGTTTGGTACAGTGTCCTGCAGTGCAGCTTTGTTGAGGCTGGTACTTTGCAGAAGAACGTGCCTAGTGGAAAGCCGAGAGCACAGGGGCTTCTGGGACTTTTCTGCTGGTGGACTTCTAATGCCAGGAGAGAGTAATAGGTTTGCAACATAGGTGAAGTCTATGTGTTGTCGGGAAGTTCTGCTGACATTTCTGCTCCCGAAAGCAACTTAGTTTTCTTCTGTAAGGCAATGTGTAGGGTTCGATGTGACGTCCCCTTTGTAACGCTCCTTTGTAACGTGCATGCGTGCTCTGGAATACCTATTCTTTGGTGGCAGGTTCATCGCTCTGGGTTGGACCCTAGCAGTTTGGGACCTTGCAGAGCCCCTAAGTCGGGCACAGTCCCACATGTCTTCACAGGAAGGGGTCCGGGCTGTGTGGCTGGGAGGGTGGGACCTGGCGGGATGGGAAGAGGGAAATGCTGGGCTGGTGGGTGACACCCAGGGTCAGAGACTCTGCTTTTCTTCCTCTGAGTGGAGCAAGGGTTCAAGCTGGGCACAGCTGCAGGATGTGCCTTGTGGCCTGGCAGGCCCTGCGTGGGGCCAGTGGCTGGGAAATGCTGCCTGTGACATTCCCGAGGTCGCTGTTCTGAATGCTTCTTGTCCTATGTCAGACCTCCTTCCGGCCTCCCAGCCACTCGCAGGCCGGGTTGTGGCGGTGGTAGGATTTTGTGTGGACTTTTCTTGTCCTGTTGGACATGGCAGGGCCAGACATGTGCTGTTTTTAGGATGACTGGTCAGGACTGCGGTTCTGCTCAGGAACAGGAAAGCTGCAATTTAGTAAGAACAAGGCCCGTGGTAAATTTGGAAAGGAAAGAACCAAGGTGTCTGTTCCCTCACAGGAGGTATTTTTGGTGCCAACCACAGTAAACTTAGATTGTTTTCTATCTGAATAGTTAGGTAGAGAATCGTCCAAATACAGAGGTCTGAATTAGTTCAATTTTAGGATCTTGTGTTAAACTTAATTGTATCTGTAAAAGTGGCTGTTCTGAAAGTCTAGTAGAAATTGTCTTAAATTTTTTAGAAATTAACACTAGAATTAGGAGCCTCATAGGAATGGAATCACGTGCATTGTTTACTTGGTTTCAATATTACAAAGCCAGTGAAAGTAATACTGGTTAACATTTGTGTATTTATTTGAAATTTCAGAAATACTTTTTATTTCTACACATGATCATGCCTACTGTATGGGTATTGCTCATATTCCTGGGAATATTTATGTTTGGCATAAAGAGTTGTGTTTTCCGTCTTTGCAAAGAACATTACCACATACTTTAGCAACTTAGGATGACATATTTATGTCTTGTCACTGTTTACGTGGGTCAGGAGGTTGGGCCTGGCTTGG